GCGGCGGACTCACGCTTCGTCCCCCCCCGACTCTAAAGCGAGTTGGGGACACAGGGAACGGAAGCGAACGTGTGCCCGCGGCCGCGTCGGCTCAAGCGGCCGGCCGCCGAAATATGATAGTGCCTCACTGCGAGGCATACTATCCGCCATCGAAACCAACAGGATCTTCCTATTGCTTAAGATGGCACGCCCTCTACTACTGGGACTATCGTTACTACGGTACAACAGAGCTGGGGTTGGGCATCGCGTAAGGCGAAGCTATTGGTTGGGCCTCCCAACCCCTTTCCGGCTAGGTGGGGCGCTGCTTCGTTGCATCATCGTTGTTGGATCTTGGGTTCATTCTGGTCCTCCTCCTTTCTCCCCCATCCTCCTCTCACTCCGTCTTTTCCCCATCTCCCATTCCTCCTCCCTCGCCCTGAGTCGGGGCCCCAGCTGTACCTTTCCCCCGCCCTGGGGATTCTCACTCCTCAGGGATATGGGGTTGGTGCAATTGGGCCGTCCTGTGGTCGCGGGGGGGTGAGGACGGTGTCACGGGGTGGGTCCCCTCCACGGAGCCTCTTGGGTCTAGTGGCGCCGTGACACTGCGGCACTAGACCCCAGCGACAGGTGGTGAGGTACTGGCGCCTTCTGGCGCCATCATGCGCCGGGTACGCCATCTACGTGGGCTGAAGCACCCCTCCTCCGTTTTGTTACCCCTCTGTTCGTGTGCCCGAGAGGGTATGCGTGCGCTCAAAGATCGGTGCCTCGAGGTCGATGTCAGCGACAACAGCGTTGCACGTATCTACTTGCTTTGGTTCGCGCGCAAAGCCGTGTCCTGACGCGTTTCTTGATCACAGTGAAGTTTGGTCGAGGCGCTGGGCGCTGCAGAGGATCCCATTCCAAGTAATCAGGTGTCACAACATAGCTCGAGTATGTTTGCCCTAGCTGATTGGGTCTATAGGCTGTGGATGCCACTTGACACCCTTGCGGCAGAATGTCCTGAACAGCTTTACGCAGCTACACGATGGGGGGCCACGATGGGCGGCCATGATTGGGCCACAGTGGCGGGTCCTTTTGGGGCCATCTTCGAGGCTACCGAGCAAAGCATCGGCGGCTTCAATTACGCCCCCCCCCCCCCTGGGAACACGACAAATCGCTTGTCGCGGTTCTGACAATCTCTAGGGAGCCGTCGGATCCATGTTCGAGCCCTTGTGCCCCCCCCCTCCGATGGGGCGATCTTTGGCCTCTCGCAGTTCAGCATTCTAGGCTTGCGAAGGACTTGGGCATCTCGGGATCATCCCTAACAGGCTCCCCGACCACCTCGAGCTGTCCTGTGGCCTGTGAAATCACGATGACGGACATTTTGAACCACGTAGGACCATCCAGCCCAGGCGCTCAGATAAGGACCATTCTGGGCCTGTCCTTGGATCTAGGCCGGGGAACGCAGTCGCGGCCGAGGCCCGCCGTGACTTGACCAGGAAAGCCCCTTCGTTCCTTGTGTGGCGTTCCCTGCGGCAGCGCCAGGGCCGCAGGACCATCCCGTTCCCTCTTGGAGGCCATCCTGGAGCTGTCCAATGGCCTTCGACCCGGCCCGCCACCATGCCACACTGTGCCCTCTTGGAGGCCATCCTAGAGCTATCGAATGGCCTTCGACCCAGCCCGCCACCGTGCCTTGGTCGTGGATGCATGTGGTAGGGCCCATGATGCGCCCCGCCGCCGCCGGGCCTACCCCGCCGGCGGGGCCAGCCGCTCCACTCGCTCTGGGCGTGACCCGTCCTGAACGGCCCTCGCTCCCTGTCTCCTCATTCGGACGCCCTCCCTGTCTCCCATTTTCCCGCATTGTGGTACAATTCGCTTCAAAGGTATCCCCGTTGTGATTGCTCTTTCGCCAGCGCAGTTGCTCTGCCTAGCCGCCGACGTAAAAAAGCGGTGGGGTGGGGCCCTTGGGGCTTTTTCGCGCCGCTTGCGGGAGTTCGGGGACTCTTGGGGACCTCATGGCAGCCTCTTAGGGGGCCTTTTTGGGGTCGGCTGACGGTCTCGGTGGTCATCTTGGGGCGGAAGGCTCGGCATGTCAGTTTGTGTTCCCTGTCACGAATCTCTCTTTGGTCCGTCTTGGAACCTCTGGAACCGTCTTGGGGCCTTTTCGGGCTGTTTTGGGCCCTTTTTGGAGCTACAGGGCCGTTCGGGGGCGATCCTGGGGGCTTTTTGGGGCCGCGTTGGAGCGTCGGCAGCTCAAAATGGCGAGAACGCCCAAATTCGCCACAACTCATGGGTCACCAATGATTTGAGCCTCTCAGGGCGCCCTTGCGCGGCCTCTTGGGCTGTCTTGGAATGGTTTTCGGCGTGCTGTCGGGATGCCTGTGGGCCCTTCGGGCCCTCATGGGCCGTCGCGGCGCTCTCCGACACCCTCTCGGGCGCGTCTTCGGAGACTCTTGCAGGTTTGTCGGGTCGTTTTGGGCGGGACACCGCGTCCTGGAGGCTGGCCGGCGCGACCCCCCCAGGAGCGTCCCGCCTTGGAACGCCTAGAAAATATGGAAAATCGTAGTCTTGTGGGCCCAGAGGAATCACACAATCTACAAAGCTTGTATTCCTACATGTGTTTGGATGCACCCCGTTCCGTGCTGATGGGTCGGTGGCGGATATGGGGTCATCATGGCACCAGATTGGCACTCTGACCTCCCAAACGATGTCCCGATATTCCAAACATTTCAACACCTTCTACTCGTCACTTATGCTGTTCCATGTGAAGTAGCTTGGCGAGGTGCCCAACCCTCGGTAGAGTCGTGTAGCGTTGGTGGTCCTCTTTATGCACAGTGCGTGTGAACGGTGTGATTGCGTGGGTTGGGGGACGCTTGCAAATAGTCCCGCTGGGGCCGCAGGTGTAGCTCCCCATGGGGCACGATCCGTGGGAGGGTTGTGTCCCGCCTCTAGGATCGTAGGTGGAGCTCCTTGTGGGTCCACGATGCGTGTGAGGGCCGTGCCTAAGTGAGACCGCGTCCACTATTTTGACTCCTCCTCTTGGGGCTGTAGGCTCCCTGTTTTGGGCCTCGATCCTCCTGAGGGGTGTGCCGAAATAGGCGGGGGGGGACACATCTGGACGCACCCACTTGCGCCGAATGTGGACCTCTCTTTGAGGGTGCGCACGGCTCTTGTGAGAGGGGGATGCACGAATGGGTTGGGAGTCCGCATGTGGACGCACACGCTGGCGCCGAAGGTGGAGCTTTTTGCGGGTTCGATCCTCGTGAGTGGGGTGCCGAAGTGGGCGGGGTGACCGAATGTGGGCCGTAGGTGGAGCTCCCTGCGGGGCCACAATCCTCCTCACGGTTTTACCAAAATGGCCGGGTGGAGCGCATATGGACGCACCCCTTGGGGCCGAAGGTAGAGCTCCCTTTGGGGTTCCGATCCTCCTGAGGGGTGTGCGAGGGGTGTGCCGACATCGGTGGGGGGATCGCATGTGGACGACCGCAACCGCGACCGCAGCCAGGGAACACAGCTTGGTCCGGCCGCCGCACGCGCGTCGGAGCAGCACATCCTGTCCCGCCCGCGGGGTTCCGCAGCCGCGGCCAGGGGGGCACATCTTTCAGCGTCAACGACAGGGGGGGGCGCACAGCCTACAGCCACTCCATTCTCCTCCTAATCCTCCTCCTCCTCCTCCTCCTCCTCCTCCTCCTCCCTCCTCTCTTTTTCTCTCTCCTCCTCTTCCTCCTCTTCCTCCTCCTCAATGTCCAATTCAGTGCAGACAGGGACCCGATAGCTCCATCCTGCCCAGGAACTTGTGGATTCGCTATCGGGGGCCTGTCGCCGATCTGCTGGCGATGTAACGCCGATTCCGGCTCGATGTTTCCCGTCCCCCCCTGAGTTGGTCCCCCCTATCGCTGCCCTTCAATACTGGGCAGCCAGCGGCCGCGCCCGCAGCCGCACCCGCAACCTGCAGGTGGACGCCACATTTGGGGCGCCCGCGGGTGCTGGCAGCCGCAGCCGCAAGCAGACAGCGCAGTTCTGGCCCACCTCCAGAGGGCGTCCGCAGCCGCACCCGCAGCTGCAAGAAGGCAGCACCTACTGTGGGCGCCTGCGCTGCAAAGCCCCCACACGAAGCAACGCCACTGTAGAGGCTATGCGACCAGTGCCACCGAAGTCAGGTGCAACGGAGGAGGAGGAGGAGGAGGAGGAGGAGGAGGAGGAGGAGGAGGAGGAGGAGGAGGAGGAGGAGGAGGAGGAGGAATGAGGAGGAAGGAGACGCAGAGGAGAGTGTGTCCCGAATGGCTCCACACGCGGTGTTTGCACGGCGGGCAAAGAGAGCATGGCCTCTATTGGATTTATCGTGCTGCTTGCTGTTGACCTGTTTCGGACGCCAAGTTGAGGTCACGTTTGGGCTTCATCCAACATGTTTCCAGACAGGCATTCCGACAATGATGTAAACATGATGCCAGATATTATGCCGTGGTTCGACCTCCCAAGATGGCAACAAGGGCTGCAAACGGGCCCCAAGGCGGCCCGAACCAACTCCAATCTTTCCCCAACGGCACCCCCAGAGCCCTCCTGAACGTGAAAAGGTCGGTACCCAGAGGCAGACAGGAGCCCCTCACGAGGCACCCACGAAGTCCCTCAGAGGCCTTCGAGAGGCGCCGGAAAGGCCCTCCAAGAGACACCAAGGGGTCCTGAACAGTCAACCATCTCCAAAGGTATTCAACAAGCTTTTCACGTGGCCTATGTGGTTAATTTGGGGGGAGGAAGGAATGCACCCTCAAGGGAAAGAAGGTGTCATAATGGCTGACTCCCTAGGATTCCTACGCCCAGAGGGCTGATGGGATTCAATGTTCGCGAGACTCGGGATTTACTTCCGAACGACGTCCACAGCGGAGTTCGTCTGCGCACGGCCTGTCCAGTTTGTCTCTGAACACGTTTCTGCTGTCGTTCCTCATCCCTCCTTCTCCGCAGTCATTTTAGCTCAAAGTATCTTAGTTCTAAGGTGAGAGGGGGGTGCTCGCTGACGCGAGTCAGGGCCCGCGGTGGTGCGCTGAATGGCGCTTGGGTTGGACGATGTCGTGGGCGAGTCTGGAGTGCTGACTTGGGCATATGCGGTACTGCTCGGGGTCGAGCTGCACGACTGGTGCGCCCTGGAGGGCGCCAGCTGGTTCTTCCACGCCGCCGTGGGCTCCGCGCAGAGCAGCCTCCGCACCGCAGCAGAGCTGCGGAGCCGTCACAGGTCCCACTGCGACCTCTGCGCGGAAGGGGACATCACCGGCCTGTGGGCGACCACGTCGGACGAGGGCCTGGGGCGCGTGCGCGACTCTCTCCGAGGGAGCACGCTCCTGCACATCGCCCTGGAGAGGCCGAGGCCCCGCGAGCCGCTCGTGCGCTGGCTGTTGTCGCGCCCGGGGGTCGGGGACATGGCGCGCTGCAGGGACATCTGCGGGCAGACTCCGCTCCACGTCTGCACCCGCTGGGGCCACGCGGCGTTTGCCGCCCGCCTCGCGCGCATCTCGGAGGTGGCCATGGCCGTCCAGGACAACTACTCGGCCACGCCGCTGGTCGCGGCTGTGCGGGAGGAGCACGGGGCGGCCGTGGCAGCGCTGCTGTGCGCCCGGGCGGACGTGAATGCCTTTGCTGCGAACTGTAGCAGTCACGGGGACACGCCGCTCATGCTGGCGGTGCGCCTCAGGAACCTCGACATCGTGAGGCAGGTTCTGGCGGCTCCCGCCTTGGATCTGCATAAGTTGTCGCTGGACGGCGTGCCGTTCGGCGAAGCGGCCCTGGATTTGGCACACGAGGAGGGCCCCATCCACGCCATGCTGGTTGAGGCCATGAGCAGGCCTCAGGCGCAGCGTGAGACTGCGAGGGCGTGCGAGGCGGCGCTTGGCGACCTGAAGAGGGTGGTGCTCGACCAAGGGACTTGCAACCCGGGTGGGCCACCGAGGCCGAGCGAAGGGACGCAGGGCAATGCAGCGAGGTTGCCGCCAATGCCAGGCAAGTTGGTCACCGGATTGGCCGAGATGTGCCGCACGGGCGCTGGCTTGGTCGCCAGTGCTGGACCAATCGGCTGCTTTCCCTGGTGGCTGTCGTGAGGTTGGCCGGCTACTTGTTCAGACGTGGCGCCGTCCTATTCCGCTCTGGACGGCCGCCCTGGGCGACGCCTGCGCAGCAGAGCACAGCTCGCTGCAGAGGAGTGTGTACATCGTCAAGACAGGTGGGAATGAATGCAGAGGATCGTGTATCCAGCTGCCTGCGGCAAGTCCCGCCACCGTGCCGAGATAGTATGGGACGCCGTGCCGTGTGGCACCCCGTGCCTCCAGGGTTTGGATAGCCGTGATGATTTTGATGATGGTGATGATGCGTATTATGAGGATGATACTGATGATGTTGGCGATGCTATTGCCGATGATGATAGCGGTGATGATGATGATGATGCTGATGATGATGATGATGATGATGATGAGCATGCTGATGATGCTGTTGATGATGATGATGCTGATGATGATCATACTCATGATCATGATACTGCTTAGTATGATGATGGTGATGGTGATGGCGATTGTGATGGTGATGATGACGATGATGATAGTGATCTTGATGATGATGATGATGATGATGATGATGATGATGATGATGATGATAGTGATGATTGGTATGATAATGATGATGATGCTGATGGTGGTGATGATGACGGTTGATATCATATTTTCGATGCTGTTGCTGATGCTGCTGCTGATGATGCTGATATTGATGCTGCTGGTGATGGTGGTGATGACGATTCTGCTGCTGATGATGATGACGATCGTTGTGATGGTGATGATGGTGACGAGGACGAGCATGGCGATGGCGATGATGATGAGGAGGATGATGATGATGTTGCTGGTGACGATGGTGGTGATGATGGTGGCGATGGTGATGGTGATGAGGGTCATGATGCGTGGTAAGGATGTGTGATAATGATGATGCTGACAGTGATGATGATGATGATGATGATGATGATGATGATGATGATGATGATGATGATGATGATGATGATGATGTGGACGATGATGATAAGATGTTGATGCCGATGATCATGATCATGATGATGCTGAGGATGATGATGCTGATGGTGATGATGATGATGCTGATAGTGATGATGGTGGTGATGATGCTGATGTGGATGGCGACTTTGCTAGTGTTACTGTTGTTGACGATAGTGATGCTGATGGTGATGCGGATGATACCGATGATGCAGTTCGTGCTGATGACGGAGATGCTAATTGTGATTAGTATGGTGATGGTGGTCATCAAGATGATCATGCGAATGCCGATGAAGGTAACGATGGTGCTGATGATCATGGTGGCGTTGGTGGTTGTGCTGGTGGTGGTTCAATTGGTGGTGGTGATGAGGATGCGTATGAGGATGGTCATTATGATGCTGATGGTGGTGGCGATGGTGATGACGAAGACGGGGAAGGCCGTACAATGCGATACGTTTCGGTATCACTAGTTGATGAGCTCTCATGGAACTCGTTCGGGCCGTCCTGGGGCTGCCTTGGCCTCCTGTGATGCAGTCTTCGGGGTCCCTTGTGGCCGTAGTAGGCCGTCTTGGGATCCTCTTACGCGGTGTTGGGTCTCGCCTGGGCCGTCTTGGTGCCCTCCTGTCCGTATGGTGGGTCCCCGGGGGCCGTTGTGCGGCAGTTGTGGGGCAGTTGTGGGGCCGTCTTGGGCCGTCGAAATGCTTACTAAGCCTTTCTTGGGTCCCACGGGAGGCCCTTTCCGGCTGTCTTGGGGCCGTGTTGGATGCCTCTTGGGCCATCGTGGGACCTCTCGGGCCATCTTGGGACCCTTTTTGGGCCCTTTTGGGCCGTTTTGTGCCCATCGTGGAGGCTTTGGGAGCGTCTTGAGCTGACGGAAGCCCGAAAAGGCGAGAATGGGAAACACATGCAAACACCCAGGGAAATCAATTGCATCTGTTCCTCCAGACCCTGTTGGATTTCTTGTGTGGCCCTTTGAGGCACTAGTGGAGGTATCGTTGACCGTCTTGATGCCATGGTGGGTCGTCTTGAGGCCATCTTCGAGGCATCCTGGGACATGCTGATGTCCTTGGTTGCCTGCATGAGCCGTCTTGGAAGGCATGCGCACCGTTGTTTCACAAGGGATCGTGGCCTCGGGAGCGGCTCCATTCAGGAGGTGGTGTGGGGGGGGCGTCCGCACTCCCCAAACAGTTCTTGCCCGCTGGGGTTCTCGTTGCCCCTTCTGGGGAACCGGGCCCGCGCGCGGCCCGGGCGGGCCCGTTCCCGTCCGTCGCCGCCCAACGCTTCCGTGTGGAAGGCCCGCTTGCGGCCCCGGCGGCCCCGTCCCCGCCCGTCGCCGCCGCCCCACGGCACCCGCTCCCCGGCCATCCGCTGCGCTGCCGTCGCATGGAATGGCAATCGAGTTGCGTTGCGTTGGAGCCGTATTGTGCTGCAATGGCGGTGCCTTGCATGTCGAGTTGCGTTGCGTTGGGACCGTATTGTGCTGCAATTGCGGTGCCTTGCATGTCGCTTCGCATTGCCCTGCATTTGGACGTGCGCTGCGCTGCACTGCTGCGCGGCTGTTTGCATCCCCCTGCATTCGTCTGCACTGTTTTGTGCTGCACTGCATCGTGCTGCTTGCGCAGACTCAAGTGAACTTGCATTCCTTTACATCGCTTCGCATTGCGTGGTATTGCTTGACGTTGTTTTGCAATTGCTTGCATGATTCTGCATTGCTCTGCTCGCCATTGCTTAGTGTTAGTTTGCATTGAGTTGCATTGCGTTTCATGGTTTTGCGTGGTGTTGCGTTGTGCCGCATTGATTTAGACGGCGTTGCATGTCTCTGCATAGTTTGGATTTGCTGTGCATTGCGTTGCAATGGTTTGCATTTACTGCAGCACATCAATATAGCACTATATGTATTGCACCATCTACATTGCATCGCATTGACTGCACCACGTAGATTGCACTGCATACGTCGCAAGAAGTCATGGTTTGAAGTCCACGTTGGCGATCATTGGGATAGAGAGTCCCTACCAGCTAGCCCTTAGTATTCTTCCACGACTCAACGTGCAGAAGGCACGGTGGCAGATTTAAACAATTAGATGCTTCAGCGGTGCCAGGCCGTCCTCAGCCCTGCGCGCCTCTCAGGGGTTTCGCGTCGGCGCCATTCTACGAACTCGTCTGTACAGCCCTGTGTTCTCCGCGACTTCGTCGCGACTCGCTCCTCCTCGTCTCCCTTCCTCGCCCCCCCTTGTCCTCCCCGTGGATTGCTCAACCAACGCTTCCGCCGCGGATGTTCTTTGTGCGCGATTGCATCGGCTATAGTTTGATTTGCTTCAAAAAAAGGTAGTGCCATCTGGGGGCGCGGTACGTTTTGGGACCTGGGGTAGGTCGCCGAAGATATCTCTGGCGATTGCGGCCTCCCAGATCCCAAAAGCCGTGCAGTGACGAACCGTGCGGTGCGGTCCTGTCTAGGCTTTCGAGGTCACTGTGCGGGGTGTCGCGGCAACGCTTCGAGGCCCCCACGTCGAGGTGTGGCAGCGAAAAGCCGCGGGGGCAAACAACACATGCCATCATTTACCAGACCACCTCTGCCCAATCCGAAGGCCTCAGACCCCTCCAAATTTCGGGCGGGGGGCGCATAGGTACTGCATGCTCCAGTTCGCGCATCGTGTTTTTCGGTGTTGCAGAACGCCTCCTCGCTGGAAATGGGCCCCCTTGCTTGCTGCCCTCCTCATCCTCCTCTTCCTCCTCCTCCTCCTCTTCCTCCTCCTCCTCCTCCCCTGCTTGCTGCCTTACCTTGGTCCCTTCCACCTGCGCGCCCTCCTGCTGGTTGCCGCCGGCCGTGGCCTCCCGCCTCCGCTTCCGTCGTCGTCTGCTTGCCTTTTGCCTTTTGTTCCTCTCCTCCGCTGGGTTGCACTGACAGCCGTGCCCCTCGCATCTTGCGATCACGAAGCTCAGAATTGCGATCTGCTTCTGATCTGGAGGCCAGAACATCTGGTGGAGAGACTGCCAGAAAGCCACGAACCTTCCAGTCGGACTGGGGTATAAGATCAAGGTCGGCTCGGGGAGAGTGCCCTAGTGTTCTGCGTGCTCATTGTATGTGTTTGTGCATCTTGGGGAGGGCACCCTCGGATGTGATTCAGCTTGACAGGCGGAGGGTCTCATGCTCTTGAGGGATGTTCCTCTGTCCCAGGTCCGGCCAGACAGACACTACACTGCCAGAAGTCGACTGGACGTAAGAGTGATTTTTGTTCGCCGGAGCGAGCTTTGGTGCGGGGCCCAATGGAGTCCCCCGATCGCCGAGCAGCGGCCTGCGCGCCCAGGTTTGGCCACCCCTCTCGTCCTCGGTGAGGCCGCGACCCAGAGGTCACTCCTGCCTCGGGTCACTCCTGCGCGTTGCCATCGGGGCCCTCCTCCATGGCGCTGGCACGAGGAGCAGAAGGAGGACGGCGAGAAGGAGAGAGGCCCCCCCCCCCCTTCGTTTACCAGAGTACACACCGCTGGGGTCAGGATGAGTCGGCTCTGCGCGACGTACCGAGCGGGTTTGCGTCGGGGGTGTCCGCGTGAGTCCGGCGAGGCAACGGAGAGCAGTGCCTCTGTTCGGCGGCGAGCTTGGGGGATGGAGTTGAGAAGGGGCGGGCTGTCTCAGAAGGCTCGGGAGTCCCCGGCCTTCTGAGAAATTTGCCAAGCCTTCCGAGAAGACACAGAAGCCTTCCCACAAGGCACGAGCGCATCTGAGAAGTGACGCCGCCTTCTGAGAAGGCCTTCTTCTTCTCACTTCCCCCGTCGCTCGCCGCCAATCTGCGTAACAGAGGGGAGGGGGTGCGATTCGAGGATGAAGGCTCGAGGTTCGCGGTTTTTGGAAGTGGCTCGAGTCTTGGGCCTCGTCGCCACGGCCAGGCCCGCCTAGGTAATGGAGACCAGTGCCTCTGTGTAGCAGAGGCTACGCATCGCTCGGACGTGTGTTGTTTTCCTCGGCGAGGACCATCGAGTAGCATCCCTGATCAGCCGACAATCTAAAAAAGCACGAAACCGACGCATGCCCAGGAATGGACGCCCGAGCGATGGCAAGGAGGGGAGGGGATGCGATTCGAGGATCAAGGCTCGAGGGTCGAGATTTGTGGATCTGTCTTTGATGTTGGTGCTCTCCAGGGGGGCCCCGTCGCCACGGCTGGGTCCGCCTTGGAGCTTCGAGCAGAAGGCGGTCCATGGGGGGTTCGGGGTCGGTTTTTGAGCAAGGTTGTAGGGAGAGGCGAGGGAGGAGCGAGGAGGGACAGGTCAGTAGCAGGAAGCCACTCAGGGAATGAGGACGGCGGTGAGCTCGTTCTCGCAGTAGAAAGGGGGAGTACAGGCCCTGGTGATCTCGGACTACTCCTTCGTGGCATCGCACTACACCTCGAGGAAAACATTGGGGCAGTGGCTTGAGGAGCACAAGGTGGCTCTCTTGTCTCCCTTGTGAGCATGGGGCGCGTGGCTATCCATGACGTCCTGCTGCCGGTCACATATTTCCGCGCTTCCCCTTCCGCGCGAAAAGCTGTACAGCTCGAGGTGCCAACTCTCATCATCGTGAACAGGATCAGGAAGAGCATGAGGATGACTGGCTAATATGTGAAGCCGTCTGCCAGAGCCGATCGTTCCAGCGATGTTGTGATAATTCGAACTGCCCTAGTTACTGAGAATGGCTCTGTGCGCTCCCGGCAGCCATTTGTTTTGTACGACGCGGGGGCCCCGGGGCCCCCATATGTGCACGTCATGTTCTGAGGGATTCTGTTGTGAGATCACGGTGACCATGGGGCTCTGAGAGGAGAGGCATTGGAGGTGGAACACCAGAGCCCCGTCCGAAGCATCCCCACAATCCAGGCGCGAAGGGGCAGGTGTCTTGCCCAGTGACGGCTCCCCCTTCTGGTGCAGGCGGTGTCGTTGCTGTCTGTTGGTCTCTGTTAGTGCCTGTTGGTTTCTATTGGTGTCTAGGCAGGTGTGCGTTGGTTTTGCGTGAAGCCACAATCTGGCGGGGAACGTGCCCGTGGAAGACACCCGGGCGGCTCCATTTTGAGTTGCCCAAGGGCATTTGGAAGGAAAACGATCGGGGGTGTCCAAACCAACGCTCCGCTTGAGCCATCCCCATAATCTGGCCGCGAACGGGGAGGTGTACTACGCCCTGCTTCATCGCGGTGATCACGGGGCTCTCAAAGGAGAAGAGTGGGGGGGGGGCAAAACCAGCGTTTCGTCGAAGACGTCCACAATCCAGGCGCGAAAGGGCACGTGTTCTATTGGCGGTTCCCATTTGAGGTGCGCTAGTGCGATGCTTGCTACATCTTGGTGATCATGGGGTTCTGACAGGAGAGGAGTCGGAGGTGCAAAGCACGCGCCTCTTTCGGAACATCCCCACAACCTTTGCGCGAACGGGCGAGTCTCCTACCCACTGTCGGTCCCCCTCGTGAGGTGTCCAAGTGGTATGCATGCTACATTGGGGTGATCATGGGGCTGTTCACGGAGAGGAGTCGGAGGTGTAAAACAAACGTTTCGCTCTAAACACCCCCAGGATCTAAGCGGTTTCGGGCAAGTGTCCTACCTCTGGGGTCTCTCCTTGGGGGTGTCCACGTGATATTCCTGCTACATCTCGGTGAGAATTCGGCTCTTCAAGGATACGATCCGAAAGTGAAAAGCGAGCGCCTCGCCTCGCTCGAGACGCCCCCATAACTTGACCGCGAACGGGCAAGTGTCCCCCTTGTTACGCTCAAGTGCCATGCTTGCTACACTGCGGTTGCCATGGGGCTTGTAAAGGAGAGGCGCTGGGGTTGCAGAACGAGAGCCTCGCTCGATGCATCCCCACAGCCAGGTCGCAACTGGACAGGTGCCTTACCCTTTCTGCCTGCTGCATCGCGGTGACCATGGAGCTCCTGAATATGAATGAGTCTGGCTTTGAGTGGGTCTGGGTATGCGTTTGAGTGTAGATTCCTCTGAGTGTGAGTGAGTCAGAGATTTATTGAGTTTGGGGGTGCACGATCTCTGTGTGTGGCCGCCCTGTGTGTATGAGTATGGGTACGACTAAGCTCGGCATGAGCGGGTCTGAGGTTTGGTGGCCCTAGGGTATGAGTGCATTGGAGTGTGGCCTATATGGTTTGAGTACGGGTGAGTCTGAGTATGGGTTGGTCCGGGTCTGAATGGTGTTAGCTCGCGTGGTCTTTGAGAGGGCGTTTGAGTATGGGTGTTCTGAGTGGGAGTTTGGTTTGAGTGAGAGTGGCTGGTGTTTGAGATCTCTTTGCCATAGGGGTTGAGTTAAGGCAGGTGTTAGTGTGATCGACTGAGTTCGAGTCCAAGCGTGAGTGGGGAGTTGGAAGATGGATGAGTCGGGAGTGAGAAGGCGGAGACGTCACATTCCATACTATGACGAATCCCTAGATTGGGGACATGAAGGGCTGCCATATTCATTATGTGTATGTATATATGTATACACACACGCAGATCACATTCACTTTGGAGTAGGACGTGGCGTTGGACTGACTCAAGGAAACGAGTGTCGTGCAAGGCGTGCGCCTGTCCGCGAATTCCATATGAAGGAGTGCTTCGCGCAACCATCTACTTACGGATCAGATGCTGTCCAAATGTACCCTGACTGCGTGAGCCGATTGCTGCGGGGGCTGACCCACAGTTTGTTCGAACCAGCAGGGTCTGCATACTTGTGTGCAGAGGTTGTTCGCTGACGGTGGGGTGTGATGCATGACCTGGGCGCGATGTGAAGAAACCTACAATCGATCTACGTGTCCATGGGTCTGCGCATGCGCACGGATCTGTCTGTCACCGCGTACGCACACATTAGATTGCCTGCTACTTCGAATGCATATGCAAGCAGTATTCCCGAACGGAACATGATAGTCAAGTCAGCATGCTTGTCAACATATCAGTTCCTTGGTCCTGTTATTCAAGGCGCTTCGCGTTCACCGCCCACCCATTCCAATTCTCGCCGAAAGAGGCCAAGACGGCTCCAAGACGGGCGAACTAATTCAAATAATAGTGAAGAAGATCCCCCATGTGTGTTTGGTCGTTCTTCCTGCGCGCCGTTTTTTCTCCATTTCATCGCTCCTTGGCCCAGGCATGCCTCGGGCCTGATCTATAGTAAATTGGTCGTGGTGTCAGTGTAGTCTGCTCTTGCGCCATCTCCCCGTTGGGCCTCCCGGGAGCCGTCTTGGGGACGGGAAAAGGGGATGGGACGTGGCCGTGCGGCGGAAAGGCGGAGGCCTCTTGTGTCAAGGGAGGAAAAACCATCCGGACTGGACATTCGGCATGTACTGAACGGCTTCGGGCGTTTACTGAACAGCCTTGCCCTGTTCGATTCCTTCAGTGGGGGCGTTTAGTAAACGGCTTCGCGTGCTGGGGTGATTATTATGGGGGTGGATTTTTTGCCTGGGGGGGGGAAGGGGGGGCGGCCTGAACATTGCAAGGAGCTGCCAGGAAGGAGTCCCACACGCCCCTCTGCCCAGTGCCTCTTTTGATTCAGGAGGGAAAAAACGCACAGACAGAATTCATCGTCGATTCCCCAGAGGATACGGGAAACAGATGGGAAAATATGGGAAGCGTGGTGGAAGACAAATCAAGAACAAAATTGGGAAATATGGGGAATCCTGTTATTGGTGTGCATTTGTTTGTATGTCCTTGGGCCCCTCGATTGATCCGTGCTCCCCTTTCAGGGCAGGAGGCCAGAGCTGGCCAGAGACGAGCCAGGCACGGCCCGCAAACGGCCCAGCATGCGCCCGCAGGATCCGGCGAGGGCCCCGAGACGGGTCCACCCAGAAAAGGGCCGAGCGGAGCCCGACGTTGCCCCTGCGGGCTTTTGGGCGGCCCGCGCGACATTTCGACTAGGGGATCGACAACATAATTGATTTACCCTTAAGTCGGGCCTGTGCCTCTACAGGAGGAATATTCAGAAATAGTTAAACAAATAGTTCGGGGACGTTTTTTTGAGTATGTTTTGATTCGTTTGGATATTTTTCGTCCAAAATCGCCTGTAGGGGGACAGGCCCGACCTAGATTTACCCCGAAATTGATTCCTTCATCGCAGCTACGAAAATGACGTAGAATTCTCAGATCTACGGAGCCTCCCACGCGTTTCTCGCAGATTCAACGGAAAATCAATTCAGGGGCAAATCAATTCTGTGGTCGATCCCCTACTCAAGCATTACGTCCGCGTTGGGCCGCAACCCGGTCCGAATGCCATCGGAAACATTGTGGTTCGGGGTGACGGTTTTGGCCCCCTTTTGGAGGGCCCCAGGTTGGGCCCAGACTCGGTCAACATTGATACCGAAAACGCAATGGGCGACGAAATTCACATGCTTGGAGTGGCCCAGTCGAGCCCGATTGTCGGCTATCGAATGGCCTTCGGCCCATCCCGCCACTGAGTCTGGGTTGTGGTTCAGAAGCCTCCAGGATGATCGTTGGGCCTGTTTGGGGTCTCTTTGGACCTCTTGTGGGCCTCCTGGAGCTTCCTTGGGATCTCCTGGGGGCCTCTTGGGACAGAAGACGCGGATTTTCGGTTCGTGTTTCATTCCTTGGGGCTGTCTTAGGACCCTATTGGGCCGTCCTAGGCGCCTGTGGGGTCGTCTTGGGGCCCTCTTGGGACGTGCTGTTGCTTTCCTGGGGGCCTCTTGGGCCGTCTTGGGGCGATCCTGGGGGCCTCATGGGCCGCTTTGGAGCGTTGGGATATCGAAAAGTCGAGAACCCCACAATCATTGAAAAGCCTATGGAGCATCAATGGTCTTGGCCTGTTGGGGACATGAAGGGCTGCCATATTCATTATGTGTATGTATATATGTATACACACACGCAGATCACATTCACTTTGGAGTAGGACGTGGCGTTGGACTGACTCAAGGAAACGAGTGTCGTGCAAGGCGTGCGCCTGTCCGCGAATTCCATATGAAGGAGTGCTTCGCGCAACCATCTACTTACGGATCAGATGCTGTCCAAATGTACCCTGACTGCGTGAGCCGATTGCTGCGGGGGCTGACCCACAGTTTGTTCGAACCAGCAGGGTCTGCATACTTGTGTGCAGAGGTTGTTCGCTGACGGTGGGGTGTGATGCATGACCTGGGCGCGATGTGAAGAAACCTACAATCGATCTACGTGTCCATGGGTCTGCGCATGCGCACGGATCTGTCTGTCACCGCGTACGCACACATTAGATTGCCTGCTACTTCGAATGCATATGCAAGCAGTATTCCCGAACGGAACATGATAGTCAAGTCAGCATGCTTGTCAACATATCAGTTCCTTGGTCCTGTTATTCAAGGCGCTTCGCGTTCACCGCCCACCCATTCCAATTCTCGCCGAAAGAGGCCAAGACGGCTCCAAGACGGGCGAACTAATTCAAATAATAGTGAAGAAGATCCCCCATGTGTGTTTGGTCGTTCTTCCTGCGCGCCGTTTTTTCTCCATTTCATCGCTCCTTGGCCCAGGCATGCCTCGGGCCTGATCTATAGTAAATTGGTCGTGGTGTCAGTGTAGTCTGCTCTTGCGCCATCTCCCCGTTGGGCCTCCCGGGAGCCGTCTTGGGGACGGGAAAAGGGGATGGGACGTGGCCGTGCGGCGGAAAGGCGGAGGCCTCTTGTGTCAAGGGAGGAAAAACCATCCGGACTGGACATTCGGCGTGTACTGAACGGCTTCGGGCGTTTACTGAACAGCCTTGCCCTGTTCGATTCCTTCAGTGGGGGCGTTTAGTAAACGGCTTCGCGTGCTGGGGTGATTATTATGGGGGTGGATTTTTTGCCTGGGGGGGGGAAGGGGGGGCGGCCTGAACATTGCAAGGAGCTGCCAGGAAGGAGTCCCACACGCCCCTCTGCCCAGTGCCTCTTTTGATTCAGGAGGGAAAAAACGCACAGACAGAATTCATCGTCGATTCCCCAGAGGATACGGGAAACAGATGGGAAAATATGGGAAGCGTGGTGGAAGACAAATCAAGAACAAAATTGGGAAATATGGGGAATCCTGTTATTGGTGTGCATTTGTTTGTATGTCCTTGGGCCCCTCGATTGATCCGTGCTCCCCTTTCAGGGCAGGAGGCCAGAGCTGGCCAGAGACGAGCCAGGCACGGCCCGCAAACGGCCCAGCATGCGCCCGCAGGATCCGGCGAGGGCCCCGAGACGGGTCCACCCAGAAAAGGGCCGAGCGGAGCCCGACGTTGCCCCTGCGGGCTTTTGGGCGGCCCGCGCGACATTTCGACTAGGGGATCGACAACATAATTGATTTACCCTTAAGTCGGGCCTGTGCCTCTACAGGAGGAATATTCAGAAATAGTTAAACAAATAGTTCGGGGACGTTTTTTTGAGTATGTTTTGATTCGTTTGGATATTTTTCGTCCAAAATCGCCTGTAGGGGGACAGGCCCGACCTAGATTTACCCCGAAATTGATTCCTTCATCGCAGCTACGAAAATGACGTAGAATTCTCAGATCTACGGAGCCTCCCACGCGTTTCTCGCAGATTCAACGGAAAATCAATTCAGGGGCAAATCAATTCTGTGGTCGATCCCCTACTCAAGCATTACGTCCGCGTTGGGCCGCAACCCGGTCCGAATGCCATCGGAAACATTGTGGTTCGGGGTGACGGTTTTGGCCCCCTTTTGGAGGGCCCCAGGTTGGGCCCAGACTCGGTCAACATTGATACCGAAAACGCAATGGGCGACGAAATTCACATGCTTGGAGTGGCCCAGTCGAGCCCGATTGTCGGCTATCGAATGGCCTTCGGCCCATCCCGCCACTGAGTCTGGGTTGTGGTTCAGAAGCCTCCAGGATGATCGTTGGGCCTGTTTGGGGTCTCTTTGGACCTCTTGTGGGCCTCCTGGAGCTTCCTTGGGATCTCCTGGGGGCCTCTTGGGACAGAAGACGCGGATTTTCGGTTCGTGTTTCATTCCTTGGGGCTGTCTTAGGACCCTATTGGGCCGTCCTAGGCGCCTGTGGGGTCGTCTTGGGGCCCTCTTGGGACGTGCTGTTGCTTTCCTGGGGGCCTCTTGGGCCGTCTTGGGGCGATCCTGGGGGCCTCATGGGCCGCTTTGGAGCGTTGGGATATCGAAAAGTCGAGAACCCCACAATCATTGAAAAGCCTATGGAGCATCAATGGTCTTGGCCTGTTGGGGGCGCTCTTAACGCTCTTTCGGAGCGTCTCGGAGGCCTCTGAGGCCGTCTTGGGGACATGGATGGCCCCACGAGCTGGGTGTGAGCCACGAAGGGCCTCGCAGGGGCCGACATGGAGCCGAAATGCGCCCCGAAAGCGTCGCCAGAAGGATTTGAACATCGAGCTCGTTTTGGAAGCCGTCTTGAAGCCGTCTTGAGACTCGAAAAGGGCCGATGATGCAGCCGAGCGGCGGAGTGGCAGAGGCCTCTAGGGTGGTGGGGAAAGGTTGGGGGGGCTAAATCCCTGTAAGGAGCTCTCACAGTTGCACATCACACGCCCCTCAGCCCGGTGGGCGGGCGTTGTCAAGAGGTTTGCGCCATTCTGCTGAGCCCTGGAAGAGGCGGGGATTCCACGGTTGAGGCGTCGGTGGTTTGTTGGGTACTATCTGAGGTTTATTTTTGGCGTCTTGGGAGCAGTTGGGAGGCCCTGTGGAGCCTCTTGGAGGCAGTTTTGAAGCGTCTTGGGGGCTGGTTGGGGGTGTCTCTTGGGCCTCTTGGGGGCCTCTTGGGGCTCTTGGGCCGTTTTGGAGCGTCACAAGCTCGAGAAGACGATATCCCTAGAAACATGGAAGGAAGCACCTGAGGAAAACCATGGATGTTTGCCTTTGGGGGCCCTCTCGGGAAGGCTCTTGGGGCGTCTCGAAGTCGTCTTGGGACGTCTTGGAGCCATCGTATGCATCTTGGACCAATCGTTGGGCGATTCGGGTCCCTGAGAACGTTTTTGAGACCACGGAAGGCAGCTTTGGAAGTTCCGGAGTCTCCGGGGTGGGCCAAGGAGCCCTTCCCCCCCCTCCCCGTAAACGAGATGTTGGACCCTGGGGGAGGGGGAAATGGAGAGGGTGACTGCCAATCAGCTCACACGCTCTCTCACCCCCGGCAAGCGGGGGTCGGTAGATCTCCTTTGCTCGCCGTTGCTCAATCCGTCCGCCCTTCTCGGTGACACAGCGAGGCCGTCCTCCTCTGCCCGCTCCGCGTTTTCGTTCTTCGACACAGTCGTCTCTGATCTTCTCCTTGCACACTATGTCCTCCGTATTCTACGCATGGGATTTTACAGATTCCTGGTATCTACGGGGTGGACACCCGTGCGCTGACCAAGCTCATCCGCATGCACGGCGCTTTGCTGGGCAAGGTTGGCGTATCTTTTCGCCACCAGTTGGGGACACGAGCCAGGCAGCTGGTGCAGCCGGTGGAGCGATGTGCAGGGCAAGCAGTTTCTTGCATCCCTCAGCTGCTCCTCCTGCTTTTGCTGCTGTTATGGTTGAATCCGCTCGTCCCCAATTTGTTTGTTTGTCAATGTTTCACGATTCGAATATCCCCACCAGCCCATTCAGAAATGCTCATTCAGAAAAGCTGCCCATGAGAACGGAGAGGAAGTGACCGCTAGAAGTACATAGCGAACTAAAGCGGGCAACCATGGTGAACTGAAGATGCGGAGGAGGAGGAGACCGAGGATGAGGAGGAATCTGCAAATCTCGACTACGTGCAATTGCCCAGCGGTGCTATCGACGCCCTTCCCGCTGCCCTGGCCGATGCCCATCTCTGAGTTTGCCGCTGAGTGGGATGTGAACGAGGACGAGGACGAGGAGGACGACGAGGAAGAATACGACTACGAAGGGGATGTCGAATACGAGGGGGAGGAGGAGGACGAGGACGAGGATGAGGACGCGGACGGGAACGATGACCAAGGTTTTCTGGAGACGATGCCCACGAGAATTGTCGAGAAGAGTGTCGAAGAAAGACATACAGTGAAACAGTGCAGGCAACGAGGGTGAACTGAGAGATCTCTGAAAAGAAGACGGTGGGAGGCCTCTGGTTCAGATTTTGGGCCCGCGTTGCGGGCGAGAAGGATGGGAAGGAGGAGGAGGAGGAGGAGGAGGAGGAGGAGGAGGAGGAGGAGGAGGAGGAGGAGGAGGAGGAGGAGGAGGAGGAGGAGGAGGAGGAGGAAGAGCAACATCGACAACCAGGACAAACTGCTGCTGCTGCTGCTGTTGGTGCTGCTGGTGCTGCTGCTGGTGCTGCTGCTGCTGCTGGTGCTGCTGGTGCTGATGCAGCTGGTGGTGGTGTTACTGCTGCTGGTGTTGCTACTGCTGCTGCAGGTGCTGCTGCAGGTGCAGCTGCTGGTGCTGCTGGTGCTGCGGCTGTTGGTGCTGCTTGTTCTGTAGCTGCTGCTGGTGCTGGTGGTGCTGCCTGTGCTGCTTCTGGTGCTGCTGGTGCTGCTGTTTGGTCGAGCGAGTGGATGTTTTCCGAGCGAGTGGAAACGATCAGGCGGCCAGTCTTGCTGGTTACGCCATCCTCGTTGATTGCCGAACGAAGTGTAGTGACGAGGTTACTTGCTGTGCACATACCTATGGTCCAGGGGCAGCTACAGAGGCCTTGAGTCAGGATCCTTCCGAGGGCTGCTAGGAATTTGAGGGCTGAAAGTACGTATGCAGTAACACTCACGGCTCAATTGTACAGTGCACTGCACACGGTACGGTTCAGATTAAGCGTGAGGGAGCGAAACGGAGGAGACAGGGTGGTATATCTCTACACTCATTGACGGCATGGTTTCTGCTGGTGTTGCTGCTGTAGCAGGTGCTGGTGGTGTTGCTGCTGATGTTGCTTCTGGTGCTGCTGCTGATGGTGGTGCTGCTGCTTGTGCCGCTGTTGCTGCTGGTGTTGTTGCCGGTGTTGCAGTTTCTGGTGTTGCTGCTGGTGTTGCTTCTGGTGTTGCTGCTGGTGGTGCTGCTGGTGGTGCTGCTGTTGCTGCTGCGGCTCCTGCTGCTGCTAATGCTGTTGTTGGTGCTGCTGCTGGTGTTGCGTCTGGCGGTGCTGCTGCTGCTGCTGCTGGAATTAGTGGTGCTAGTGGTGGTGGTGCTGCTGCTGCTGCTGTTGGTGCTGCTGCTGGTGTTGCTGCTGGTGCTCTTGGCAGCCTGTCGGTGGCCTTGGAGTGCCTCGTGGGGCCATCTGGGAGAGCATGGATCAAAACAGGGGGGGTCTTCTTGGTTCCCCCCCCCCCCTCAGCAGCCTTCAACATCGCATCTTACAGCACTCTTTGGGGCTCTTTGGGGGAGTCTTGAGGCCCTCTTGGGCTCTCTCAGGCCGCCTTGGGCCCCTCGTGGGGCCATCTTGTAGCTCTCTCGGGGCCCTCTCGTGAGACCTAGATGGACTCTTCGGGCCATCTTGGAGACCATCGGTCAACGGACGGAAGGGGGGCCATAGTCTTTTCTTCCCTCTGGGACCCTCACATTCTCCTTCGATGCCCCTCTTGGAACGCTCTTGGGCGCTCTTGGGGCAGTGGGATCTTGCGTTCGTGTTGTGGTTATCCTGTGCCATCTTAGGATCATGTTGAGGCCTCCAAAGCGCACCGGGTGCGAAACGGCGATAAGGCATACATCATTGATCTTCTTCTGCCGTTTGAAAGATTTGGGCCTCTTCGGGCGGGGGGCCTGGGGGGCTCCGAGAACACTTGGAGCCGTCTTGTAGCGGTCGTTTGGGCCTCTTGGAGCATAGTGGAAGCAATTTGCGGCTATCATGAGCAGCCAGCGAGGCCATCTTCGAGAATCGAGAGAGCGCGATCCACCTCCGTTTTACTCTGGAAAAGTCCCCTCCCCCTTCCTCCGGAACCCAGGGGCCCCCCCCTCCGAAAATCCCCCCCCCTGCTCGAATCCCCCCCCTCCCCCCCACTCCCCTGGCTAACTGGGGGGGCTCACTACCGATTCGAACAACCCTCCCCCCCCCCCGAGAAAACTTGGGGGGTCACTATCGGTTCGACCCCCCCCTTCGCCGCCAGCAAAATACTCCCGGGCCCCGCCACCGTCCTCACCCGCCACCGTCCGCCACTGTCCCCACCACCACCGTCCCCACCATTATCTTACTGTCCCCACTGTTCCCACCACTGTCCCCACCACGGTCCCACTCTCCCCACTTTCCCCACTGTCCCCACCACTGTCCCCTCTGTCCCCCCCACTATCCCACTGTCCCCACTATCCACGCCGCTGTCCCGCTGAGCTGTCCCACTGTTCCCACCACCGTCCTCACTGTCCCCACCACTCACCCCAGTGTACCACTGTCCCATTGTCCCACCACAGTCCTCACCACCGCCTTCACCACCGTCCCCACCACCACCGTCCCCACCACTGTCCCACTGTCCCCACTGTCCCCAACACTGTTCCACTGTCCCCACCGCTGTCCCACTGTGCTGCCCCACTGTCCACACTGTCCCTAACACTCTCCCCACTGTACCACTGTCCCACCACCGTCCTAACCACCGCCCTCACCTCTGTCCCCTCCACCGCCGTCCCCACCACTGTCCCACTGCTGGCCCCACCGCCACCGTCCCCACCACTGTCCAACTGTCACCACTGTCCCCACCACTGTCCCAATGTCCCCACAGTCCCCACCACTGTTCCCACTGTCCCCGCCAGTGACCCCACCACTGTCGCACTGCCCCCCCTCTTCCCGCCACTGTCCCCACCACGGTCCCACTCTTCTCGCTGTCCCCACTCCCCACCACCATCCCCACCACCGTCCCAACCACTGGCCCCACTGGTCCCCCATCCGGATTCGGAGAGGAGGAGGAGGGGGAGTCGTTGCGGCGAGGGGGGAGGGGGGGGGGAAGGAGGGAGCTCGATCCGGTAGTGACCCCACCAGGTTTTCGTAGTGACCCACCCGGTTTTCCAGGAGGGGGGAGGAATTGTTCTCACCAGTAGTGTCCCCCCCCCCCCCCTTCTTTTCATGGTGGACGGGGGGGGAAGGAGGGGGTTGGAACCCCCAGTGACCCCCCCGGTTTTCGAGAGGGGGGCGCGGAACGGGTTGGAAACTCCCAGTGCCCCCCCCGTTTTCGGCCAGCAACGGTAGAACACGCTCTTTCCAAGAATCTGACGTCCTCTTGGCGCCATCTCGGGCCATCTAGTGCGCCCCGACCGCTCGTAACGCCCTCCCCACAACATCTCAGGGAGGGGAGGACGAGGAGGAGGGTACCCCTCGACGGAGCGAAGAGGGAAGAACATCATCGTCAGACCACCTACGCCCAGTGGGCTAGTGTGAATCTCGCGGGCCTGCCACAGGAACCATTTGATAGCAAGCGCGACAGCATCCGATGAGGAGGGAGGGTTTGACATACGAGGAGTAGTATGGAGGCGATCAGCCAGACAAGGATGTTTGTCATAAGGTCGTCCTACTTGACTCGGTACAGGGCGATCGGCGTCGTCGTCACGAGAGCGATTGCCGCCAGCCACCCTCGCCGACGACGGTCGTCATCGTGGTCGGTGTCGTCCATTTCATCGGCCGCTGTCGTTGTGATCCGCCTCCACCTCGTCCTCCGTCGTCGTCGTCGTCGTCGTCGTCGTCGTCGTCGTCGTCGTCGTCGTCGTCGTCGTCGTCGTTGTCGTCGGTGTCGTATTTTTCGTCGTCGTCTCAACCACCACCGTCATCGTCGGCGGCGGCCGCCGCCTCGTCGTCGTCGTCGTGGCCGCCAATCGTCGTATTCGTCGTCGTCGTCCTTCCGTTTCCTCGTCCAGTCAGCTAGCAGGGACGCCTTCTAGGCGAAACGCGGATCTGAGACGCGGGGCGTCGTTTTGTGCCCGGGTCATCGAAGACGACAGGCACCACGTGCGTGAGGACACTCCCTCACCTTCTCCTCCCCTATCTTGCCTTTGCATCCTCGTGGTGCCCTAGGTGACGTCGGGACCCCCTCCTCCCCCTTCAGCCCTCGCCCTCCCCTATCCCCTCCTCCTCCCCACTCCGTCTCCCAGCTCCTCCTCCCCCTTCCTTGGCCCCCGCCCTCGTCCTCCTCTTCCTCCTCCTTCATCCGTCCCTCTTCTCCAGAACTCCTCCTCGTCGCAAGGCCAGGCGTCTGGTTATGGCGGGGGCGTGAGTTCCCCCACCTTTCCGCGGACAATTCTGACCTGATGCTTTTGCGATTTGTTAAAGCTGCGCACATGAGGCCCACGTATGTCGGAATGTGTCTCTCCCCCCAGGCCCCCAAGGGCGCACGAGGGATGCTCAGGCGCATGTTCCCCCCCCAGGGAGGGGACGCTGAGAATTTTCTGCGACGAGTTTCGAACCTTACCTCTGCTGGTTCGATGGACGCTGGTGTAGCTGACACTCCCGCTGGGATTCGCTTGGCTGTTGGCGGGCATCCTCAGAAGTCTGGACCTCTGCCGGCGTTTCTCCGACATCTGACCTGGACGGGGGGGGGCTCACATGTGGATTTCTGGAGGAGCCAGGGGAAGAAGCAATTGCAAAAGCACTAGATTTCGGACGTTCGTTCGATCTCTTGGATTGACAATACAGTGGAGGCCCATGCCAAGAAACACCTCGCTTGCCTCCAGGGTGCCGTGGGTTTCCTCGGTTTCGATGGTTTTGCCATGAAAAGCGTGACGTTCCCACACCAAAAATCAATGGACGTCCTGGGGTCTCAGGGTTGGGTTTCTAGTGGAAGGTTTCCTGTGGTCTGGCCCCTATTGTAAACTCCCCATGCCCGGTGCGCGGAGCGCTCCATGGGCGGCGCCAGAGTCGTTGCCGTGGGAGTATTTCAGGCGTCGATGCAGGAAATCCCCGCGTGGGCCCCCGAAAGCTCATATGTTCATGTTGTGTGTTCGCTCCTCCGGGCTCACACGTGGCTGCTGAGAGGAGAGGGTCGATGATCCTCAGCACGTGTATCATCTGACTGCGTGCCGCCCCCGTTCGGCTCTACATGGCTCACGGCCGGTGCCGGCCTGCCCTCGTTGCACCGCCTGCGTCGAGTGGAAGGGTCTCGGCGGGCCCACGCACGTTGGTGCTGACAAACGTTCTGGGGATCATCGGGAGGGAGCGGGTACTTCTGAGAGTAATCGCCCCCCCCGAGCTGCCAGGTCGTCGTGGAGGGCGGCGCGCAGTCGGCCTCCATGGAGTTCGCGGACCCCAACGAGACGAACCTGGCGGCCTCCGTTTCGCGCACCCAGAAGCAGGCCCCCCGCTGGGGGGGCGAACGACGGAGGGCGAGGAGGAGGATGGCCACATGCGGGATCCGTCCCCCGCACTCGCCCCCTGGCGCCGCGGGGGAAGGTTGCCTTCCTGCCGCGGCGAGGGTCTGGCCGCCAGGAAGCTATCTCCACGGGAATTCCATGGCGAGAAGCCGCGCCACATAGGCGGCGCGCAGGGCATTCAGGCCGCCTGCCGTGCATCGTCAGATACGGAGGTGCGCCCACTTCCCCACGCGTGGATGCGGGCGTCAGGGCCTCGCTGATCGCCGAGAACAAGCGGGCACTGGGCTAGCTGCCACGCGTGCATGTGCTGACCTGTGGGGCGCGGTGAGAGATCGTGCGCGGGACCTGGGAGGCGAGGTGGCCGTGGCCAAAGGTGAGAGGTCATGTGCGCGCGCGATGATGGTCGCGACGAGCGCGCCTTGCGGCGCCGCCTCGGCGACGGGGCTGCCGACGAGTAGGCGCGCAGTGGCGCCCAGATGCGTCCTGTCGACGCGACCGCTCAGGAGCGAGTGGTTCGGTCTCACCAGATGGTCCAGCATGGGGGCAAGTCCCTGGCCTGGGCGATTCGGCCGCCCGCCGCGAGGCGGGACCGCGGAGGGGCGGCGGATCGCCCATCGGCTCTCCAATGATGCTGCGCCTCCTGAGGGCGCCAGCGACACTGTCTGGTGTATCAGGTGTATCAGGTCCCTGAGGTGGCTGGCTTATCAGGTGTATCAGGTGTATCAGGTGTATCAGGTGTATCAGGTGTATCAGGTCTCCCCGTGGGTGGCTTCAGGTGTATCAGGTCCCTGAGGTCTGGGGATCCGTCCAGATCTTGAAAGCTAGCCCGTGTAAGCCAGGCATTGGCCACCGCGCGTGAACGACTGGCCTTTTTGTGTTCTGTAGTGCGCGCGGTGATTCCAGTGAACGCAACGCCCGGAAGCTCGGTCAAGATTGCCGCTGAAGCCGCCCGCGTGGGTCTGTGGCCTGGGACCGCGTGCGTAAACTGCGGCGCGGTCGTCGCCCGCGCGGCGGGGCCGAGCCTATGGGCGCGGGAAGCGGCCTGAGACCTACCCCCGAAGCGTGTCTCGGAAGCGCCCTGGGCGTTCCTTCACCTGTTTCAGTTTTTGCGTCTCGTGAGCCCAAAGCGGGCACCTGGGACCTATGTAAAAAACGTGCCCTGGAAACTACCAAGAAGCGTTTTCGCGCGATCAGTTGGAACCTATTTTAAAACGAGTCGGCGCAAGCTGGATACGGCGAGGAAACGGCCCCTTTGAAACTATGGACACGGCTTGTTGAACGAGCGACACAAATCGAGAGTGCCGATGATGATGAATACGAGACGGGCGGCGCAGCGGACATCAGCAGCAGCGAGCAGCAGCAGCAGGCAGTAGCAACAGGCAGCAGCAGCACCAGACGACATAGAGGGACGGTGGCGGCTGCAGCGGGCAGGAGGTGCATCAGCGAAGTTGTTTGGAGAGAGCGTAGATCTCCTATCGTGCGTAACCTGTCAGTCGCTGTCCGACCCACCGGAAGGGGAGGTTGGAAACGCTTTGGAAGGGCATTGCAAACGGTCTCAACCAGGCATCTTCGACACTTGGCCCAGGGGAAGCGGAAACATTGAGGATGTCGCGGCCGCTGCTGAGGCCGCCGTTGCGACGCCGACGCCGCAATTATGACACCGACGACGTCTCCGGCTCCGACGCGCACGGGATCGGACATTGATTGACAGGCAACGCGCGATCAGAGCTCAGAGAAGCCTTTTGGAGAGAGGGCGTCGAGCTGTTATCGCGCGTTGCCTGTCAATGCCAGATGCAACGCAGCACGTTGCGAGGCAGACCTGTAAATAATGAAAACAATAAATTGGAAATTGAAAACACGGTCCTCTGGATGGACGTGGAGAACTTTTAAATCAAAAAGCAGCGCATAACAAAAACGAGCTGGAATCTGGAAGCTATAAAAAATATATCCAGGGCGCTTCTAAGACACACTAAGCCGACCCCATGTCTGGGGATGGGGATGCAGCCCGGGGCGGACGTTTGGTCCAGGGACCGGTCCGGTTGTCAATGTTGGTTTTGTGTGTTTTTCCCGATGGGGGCATACATTTCTGTTCTGCCCCCCCCCCCCCCCTCTCCTGGGAGGTGCCCGTCGGCCATTGATCGCGCCCCTCGGCGCGAGGCTGCTGGCTGCTGGTCACACTGCGTTCCTTGGACCCGCCAGCACAGATGTCCTCCTCACTTTCCTCTTCCTCATCCAAATCATCCTTCTCCTGCATTCCTCCTGCTTCATTTTCTCTTCCTCGTACTCCTCCTCCTCCTCCTTTTCCTCCTTCTCCTTCTCATCATACCTAGTCTCCTTTTCTTCCTCCCCTTTAACCTCTAGAAGTGTATAGTGTTGACCCCCCCCCCAGGAACTCACTGCGGTGAATAAACTGGCCCTCCTCCCCCCCCCCCTCCTCCTCCTCCTCCTCCTCCTCCTCCTCCTCCTCCTCCTCCTCCTCATAACGTTACTCCTCCTCTTCCTCCTCGGGCCTTCTCCTCTTCCTCAGGCCTCTTCCTCCTCCTCCTCGTCGGTGTTGTCGTTAGCGGCGGCGGCGGGAAACAAACAATGAGTTTCCGTTGTTGTCGGGGCCCCAGTCCGTCAATAATGTCGCCCGACAAGTATTTTGTTTCCCAATGTTGCGGGAGGGTTGTTTTAAATATTCTTTGCGGTTCGAAGGAATCCTTGCGCATGCCGCCACAGGAAGAGTCCTCTTCTCATTCCGCCACAGAAGGAATTGTTCATTATCTTGACACAGAAGGAATATTTTTGGATTCGGCCACAAGACGATCTCCTTTGCATTTCGCCACATTCGGAATTCCCTTCTGTAAACTGGCAAAAGCAGAGTTCCAGTACTCCGCCACAGAAGTTATCCTTTTAGCTTTCAGGGAATCCTTGTGCATCCCGCTAGGCTGGGAACCATTTCTGTATTTGGCGACGGGTGGATTCCCCTCGCATTCGTCAGCCAAGCAAGCCCGTTATTGTACCCCGCCACACCGGGTAACTTTTTGTACTCGGCCACGAAAAAGACTCCTTTAGCATTCGGTCACATACGGAGTCACATCAGGAATCTTGCCATCGAAGAAATCCCGCGTGGTGTCATATAGCTTGCCGTAGAAGGAACCCTGCACCATTCCATTACACACAGAGTCCGTCCGTAATGCACAACACCAAGACACCGCCACAAGGAGAACCCTTCTGTACCCTGCCACAAAACATGTATTGCATCCTGTCAGATAAAGGACCTATTGGTAACCAGCCACACAAGGATTCAGTTTAACCCTACCGCAACAAAACAGGAACCCCGCGGTAACCCGCCGCAAGAGAAATCCCCCAACATTCCGCAACATAAGGATCTGTTTTACCAGAAAAGTCCGCCACAAACGGGGCATTGTGTTGCACACCGCCACATAAGGACACGTTTTTTGATTCCTGTGTTCGTCCGCGCCAACCTATTCCAACTGTATTCCGCCGCATAAGAATCCCGTGCTACTCAAAAGTTCTTTCGTCGCGTTCAGCCAAGAATTATCTTCAAAAGAACCGCACAAAAAAAGTGGCAACCCACTGCAAAAGGGAATCCTTCAATATCCCGCCGCAGATGGAATCCTTTCGAGCACCCCGCCGTTTTAAACAAAGGGGTGCCCTTTTGGTTCTCCGGCCCCCAAATACAAACCCGCTACTTTTGTCCACAAAATAGATTCCGTTTTTTTTTTTTGGTTTAAACAAAAAACATTCCGCCACGATCATAGCCAAAAGGCCGAGCAGGCATGCTCGAATTTGCGCGTCCGCCGTTAGGGCCGCGGCCGCAGCTAGAAAACGCCCTCCTCCTCCCCCCCCGGGGGGGGGGGTCCTCCCTGGGGGCATTTGGCTCGGGCCTGCGGCGCCCCCGGGGGAAATCTCGGGGCCTCCCGTCTGCAAATCTCGGATCCAATGTTGTTGGCTCGCCTTTGCAGGGGGTTCCGGGGGGCAGGCAGCGGCCCATCCCGGTCCCAGGACTGCGGTGGGCCACCCCTGCCTCTATCGGGGCCCGGTTCTGGGCTGAGCTCAGCTTGGCTCACAGTGCTAGATTCTGCTGCGTTCAATAGTTGCAGGCGATGCTCGGGCTGCGTCGGACTTAGTTGCGCAGCGAAGTTGTAGCGTAGTTGTAGCTGGAGTGTAGTAGTGCTTCGTGGCTCCATCATTGCAGTGCAGTTGTAGTTGGATCCAGCTGGGGGCAGGCGAGCGCCGCCAGGGCAGGGGCTGGACTTCGCCGATGTGGGTTTGGCTCGGCAGCCTCCGTGCTCGGCGCGCAGCCCTGCGGCCGCTCCGCGAGGGGGGGGGGAGGGCTGGAGCGGGCCCGCCGTGGCCAGTGCCCACTGCTGAGGATGAAGCGAGTAAGAAGAAGAAAAGGCACTGCCAAATCTTCAGGATTTTAAAGCGCGAGCTGGCAGTAAATCCGGGCCCGCTCCGCTATCGATACGAAGACCCTTCAGAATCTCACGCCTGGTACGGAGATAAGATACCCCTGAGTGATCCGCAGCAAATTGATCCTTTCGTTGTTCGCGGCAAAATTTCAGCGGATTGTTTTAGTGATCCACCGCGTAAGGAACCCTTCAGCACTCCGCCACAACGCGATTTTTTTTTGCACCCCGCCACAAGGTGGGCAGTTTTGCATTCCGCCACATAGGGAACCTATTGAACGGTAATCAACCACAGAAAAACTGTTCTCATTGTTGCATTCAGCCACGAGAGAAATCTCTCAGTAATCCACCACAACCAAATTGTCTCATGTGGCGGGGCCGCTGACGGCGGAAACGGCGGCGAGATATCGCTGCTCGCGGGGCGAGGGGGCAAGGGGCATGCGCGCGAAGAAACGCGTTGAGAACCCTTTCGTGAGGCACCCACACGCAACGCGCGTATGCATCTATATCCATATCTACATACATATATATATATATGCATGCATGCATGCATGCATGCATGTA